ACCCATAGTACCATTGAGATCCACCCATAGTACCATTGAGATCCACCGGTAGATCACCACTGACGTACTGGGCACCCCTGGTGTGGCTGACCACTCCAGTGTTTTAGTTACTAGAACCTGAAGTGTTCCTGTTGGGTTTCTCTGTACTGGGGAGTTTCCACGATGGAGACCAGTTTGTTCGGTCCCTCTGGATTCGGTTCTGGTCCACTGTTGTTTTTTTTCTTCTCACCTTTATTGGGGTTGTCGAGCCTGCTGGTACCTCTGATCCTCGCGCACCTTTTCTCATCTTTCAGGTGTGTCGGCTCTGGTCCAGCGTTCTGCGGTGGTTCCTGCCCAGGGTTCAGTCCTGGGTTGTTGAAGTTCCTGATGGGTTCTGCTGACAGTTGAACCAGATAAAACAAATGGTTTTATCTCTGGACCTGGTTTGTTTGGGTTGTTCTCGGGCAGCGCAGCGAGGACAGGATGAAGGTTTCCTGTGTGTTCAGCTGTAGGATCAGGTGTTGGAGCAGCTCATCAGATAGTTTTGTCTTGTAGCTTGTAGCTCCTTGTCTGAAACAGAGTGGCTATTGTAGCCGGGCTCGCCGGGACGGAGTCACGTTACGTTAACGCACAATGAGGAGCGGCGTATCTCCACGGGGCATCGATCATGTGACTGAGGGCAGGAATAATAAAGCTGCTCTCTGTGGGAAAATCCCGCTCCGGCGTTACCTCTAACTCAATAACTGCAGCTGTGATGTCGTGCATCGGCGTTCGGCTACTCTGAGGAAAACAGGAAGATGATGCAGCAACGTTTTCTGGTTTTCTCCTTATTGTCTTGTTCCAAATCCTGGTTTGTTCTCGAACAAAGACTCCAGCGTTCTCTATTGTCAACTAGTTCTAATTTGGTCCATTTTCTGTTGGACTCAGGATTTTTTAGCAGTTTTTGGTCTTGAAATAAGATTTTCTGTTGACTGAGGTTCAGTCTGATTTCCTTTCTTTCTTCTGCTTTTTAGGGACGTCTCTAAATTGTGTGAATCAGGTCAAAGGCTTTAATCCTGACTCCTGTTGGGATGGAGCTGGAAGGTACATATGCTGTAATGTTCGTAATATTAAAGCAAATAAAACTACAGAAATTATATTTCCTGCGAAAATTCAGTGAATGCTTTAAGCTGAAGAACATCCTGAAAAACAGCTGAAATTAGCTAAAACATGCTGAAATGGAAGAACAAATCTAGATTAGCAGAAGAAAGCAGAAATAACACATTTGCTGAATTAAGTTTAAATAAGCATAAATTAGCACAAAAATTAGGAAATCAGGTAAAAAAAGGCTGAAATTAGCAACACAAAAACAACTGAAAAGTAGCTGAAAAGGCAGAAAGAAGCCTAAACTACCAGGAAGAAGTGAAAAGAGCTGAAATAAACTATATAAAAAAAAAGGGAAATTAGCTGAAAAGGCTAAAATTAACACAAAACAGCTACATAATAGCTGAAAAAGCTGAAACTACCAGAAAAAAGCTGAGAGGAGCATAACAAGCTGAAATTAGCCGAAATATATTAGGCTGAAAGTAGCAGAAATTATCTCAACAACTTGAATTTATCTGAAAACAGCTGAAATTAGCTCAAAAATGCTAAAAAGTTAGCTCATTCCACTTCATGTACCACATGCGATGTGAATGACAATAAAGATCCTTGAATCCTTGAAAAGGTAGAACAAGCTTAAATTAGCAGAATGAACAAGTTTGCCCGATACGGCTGAAAGAAGCAGAAATTAGCACAAAAAGTGGAAATTGTCTCAAAAAAGGTGAAATTGGCAACAACAACAAAACACTTAAAATTAGCTAAAACGTATAAA